CAATTTAATTACAAAATTTAATAAAATTCTCATTTTTCAAAAAGATTTATACATACCCAATAAATAATTAAGATGTATAATGATCAAATACTTGACAAAGAATTTGTTGATTGGGATAGTATATATAATGAGTTTGAAGAAACCTATAATCCTAATAATATATACAACAATTTAGATAATGATATGTTAGATAATAACAATTCAAATGAAGATGATAGTTTAAATGAAGATAACAATAATTTTACTGAAGATGATAGAGATACTGCAGTTCAATATTTGCCTATTACCTCTTACTTTCCTTAAAGCAAAACTTCTACAAAAACCAAATTAAAACAAAAAGCAATAAATAGAAAAGAAAAATCTGGAAAAAGCTGAGTATAGAAATATACTCGCCGAGACAGGTTAACCAAAAAAAAATATTACATAGTCTATATAGATAAGGGTGATAGTACTTCAGAATGCTGCCCAACAGTATTTATGCCTGCGATATCAACAATTAACATAGCCGCTCATTTACACACTAAACATCGAGTTTTTAAAACTAAAAAATGGGAACCACAATCATCTACATTAACAACTGTCTAACCAACAATTGATACAATATTCCAAAAGCAAAAAGAAGGTGATTTGCCTCTTTCAGAAAATCAACAAAGTTGTATTATATACTGGTTGGTCGCCTAGCTGGTTGAAGCTATGATACCCTTGAACTGTATAAATAGTGATCGGTTTTGGGACTTCTGTTATGAAATTAATTGACAGTTCGAGATTCTCTGCACTAATACAATAAAAAATGTAATAAGAGAATCAGTAATTTATACCAATAATATGCTAAAGGAGATGATGAACCAAACGATAGTCTCTACTTGTATAACTACTGATTTATAGACACAAAATCATGTTCCATATATTAGTATAACTGTCTATTGGCTTTCAGAAGACATCACAATGTATCAATCCCTTATCACAATTGAAAATTTCACCTACCTATACACAGGAGATAGGATCGAGGATTTTATACGCGAAGTCCTTGCAGAATAGAAAATATTTGATAAAATTAGTGCTGTGGTAACTGATAATACATCATCTATGGAAAAGGTAATATGACAATTAGGCATTACTCATCTTGGCTGTACGGCCCATATGATTCATCTTGCGGTTACTGATAGTTTAAAAAAAAGTGAAACCTTGGTTGGACGTACAAAATCATTAAATAATTTTTTAGTAAATCATAATAAATACAGGTAGGGATGTGTTATGAAAGTTTTAATTTTACAGTATAAGCAATTTTACATAAGGTTCAATAAATTAAATTTTATATAATTTTCATCGCAATGCATATAAGGTATTGGCTTTGCAAAACTATAAATTATATAAAAACTAACTGCAAAATAATTGTATAACTGGTTGATAATAAAGACAAATTTAACCTTGAATATTTGATTGTAAATACACAGCATTAATATAAAATAATATCCCAAATATTATTAACAAATAAAGGTATGATCAACTCTTTTGAAGTTTCCATTTTTGATATAGCTTATTCCCGAAATAATAAACTAATAGAGAACATTGTTCAGAGTAAATTTACAAATGATTGGACAAGATACTAATATCAATGATCATATTATATAGTAAAAGTTTATTATTCGTGTATCTTTATTATATTGTTTGTTGGAAAATTATATGAACTCATGCATATCGTAATTAGAGATTGGGCCTAGATAGAAATTGTTACTATACGATACAATAATTTACCTGCATAACCTGGATAATTTAATAATATCCGGGTAGAGATTTTCTTAACAAGTCTAATCTCTAATCGTGATATCGGGACTTGTATATAGAATAGAAACTAAGCAATTTTGCTGCATTTTGATTGGTTAAAACTGGCTAAGTTGATAAAATCAACTAAGTCGATTTTTTCAAAAATCAGCTAATTAAGTCAGCTTAGTCAATAAAATTGACTAAGCCAAAATCGACTACAAACACTACCTACATGTTGTTAATCTATAAAAAAAAAGAAGTTTTTATTAGTGCTACATTAAAAATAGAGTTTTAATATTAGAACCCTATTTTTAATGTAGTACCAATAAAAACTCTTTGTTTTTTATAGATTAACGACATGTAGGAGTATAGGATAAGATAAAATATCTAAAAATAAATTTTGTATAACAGTACTTAGCTAAGCCACAAAAAATATTTATTGAATATTTAATGAATATTCAATGAATATCCAGTGAATGTTTTTTGTAGCTTAGATTTAAATATATATATATTCATCAAATATTCATTGAATATTTGGTAAAAAAATTAAATATTCAAATATTTAATTTGGTGAAAAAATTATTATTTGAATATTTGAATATACTATTTATCAGATCAGACCTCTAATTTATTGTAAATTTTGTAGGCTATTTAAGTGTATTCTTTCAAGTTTTTTGTATTCATTTAGAGTAGCTATAGGATATTTGAGATATTTATGATCGAAATTTAAGAGTTGAAGGTTTTCCCAAGATGTGGCGCAACTCATTACAATATAAGCTTGACCTTCAGTGAATATAGATTCATCGATGCTAATGGTTACGTGTAGTAGAGTTAGTTCTTAGACTTTATAGACAGTGAGTGCAAAAGCGTTTTGGAGTGAGAATTGTTGTCTTGAGGCCTATTTGCTATAAATTTCAAAAAAGTAGTTTCTTTTTAGACTATTACTTTATTTATAGCAGTAAGAGTTGAAAAGATAACTTCAATATTTTCTTTGTCAATAATTTTCATTATGATTCTAATAGTTCCATTACAGATTCCTGATTCGAATAGCTTGTTGTTTAGAAATATTACATGTGCACCTTCTTGTAGATATACGAATTGAGATAGATTTGTAGAGTATTTGAAGTTAGATATTGAGTAGTTTTCAGATAGAGTTTTGAAGTCTAGTATATCGATAGTGTTAGATATAAAAGGTTCATCACAAGTGTTATTAAAGAGTAAATTATCACAGAGCAACTGGTTGATATTGTGTACAGTTTGTCAAGTTGGTACTATGTGAGTAGTATTATAAAGTTTGTCAAGATCGATATCGAGGTTGATTTTGGATTGGATAATATTGATAGATCTTTCAGATAAATTTTTAGTTCTTATTTCTTGTAGAATATTGTAGAATTCTGTGTTATTGCATTGTCGCTATAGAACAGTTAAGAATAATGGAAAGAATAGTAATCAGGCTGGTAAGTAAAAAATATATATGGGGCAAATTGGGGGTAGTTAAGCTAAATCGC